GATTCCCCAGGGGGTGAGGGTACAGGGTGCAGAGAGAGAGACAGGAAGGGGTCTTGGGGTAGTGGAAGGGGTGGGAGGGAGCCTGGGGGCATCCTGGGGCGGGTCTGCTCCTTCACAGCATCCTCTTCCATCCCCCCTCCCGCCTCAGGGTCAAATCGCCTGGGGTCCTGGGAAGCCTGGGGTGGGGAGCTCGCCGTCTGGAGGTAGAGCGAGTGCTCTCCCACGCCTCCCTCCACCCTTTCTCCACACCTGCGGGTCCTTTGTTCTCCCTGCAGGTTGTCTCCGGGCCAGTACTGGGTGAATCGTGAGGACTTTCACCCCTGGGGTGGTTAACCTGGAGCTGGGGTGTGTCCAAAGCAAATACCAAGGGTTCCCCGAGCATTTCTAAATCTACAGCCCCCTCATGGGGAAACTGTTTAAAGGCAGACTCCACAGATGAGGAAACTGAGGCTGGGAGCTTACCTCCAGGCCTGGGCCACACAATTTCACAGCCAGAGATGGGAACATGGTGTGAAGAGCACTTCAAAGCTCACCTACTTAGTTTCTCAAGCAGCACCCATCCTGCCAGACCTGGGACCTCCGCTAGAGCTGATTCAGTTGGTCAAGTGCCTGCAAGAGTGCGGGGAGTGAGGGGTGGGTTCAGGAATCTGCCAAGGTTCAGGTCTCCAAAGGAGGCATGGTTCCCGGACTACACGTGGGGCGCCGTCCCCAGCAGTGTACCTGCAATGTCTGAACTCTGAGAGCCCAATTACACGGACTTGTAGGAGAATTTCTAAGGAGCCCTCAAAAGTGAGGCCTTGGAGCCGGAGCTCCAGGGCACCCGGCTGGGAAGTGTTCCGGCAGAGAAAAGGGTTCCAGCCCTCTCCTGCCTACGTGGGATCCTGTCAAACCGGTTTCTGCGACCCCAGCTAGCAAGCTGCTCCAGCTCTTGACCTCTTAACCCCGCCCCTCCCCCACCAAAGAAGAAAACTAGACAGCCCTCTTTTTTATTTAAACGGTCTTTATTTTCGTATCTGGCGTCTCTAGCAAAAGGCCATAGAAACGGAATTAAACAGAACCCACCAGAGTACATACTTTCAGAACGCCCTGGCTAAAATCTCCCCCACCCTAAACTGGCCCAGTCTCACCACCAACTGGTCCTAACTCATCTTTACAGCGCTCTGAGTACGTTCTTCCCCCATTTTTGTGATTCAGACCAAAATCTTCTGGGTTGGTTGTGTCTATGTCCGAGGGACTGTGAACATACCCCCACCTCCAACGCACCAAATGAGAAAAACTTTAACGTTGAATTAGATTAGCTTCCTCCTCACCCGAAGGCGCAGGAAGGCAGGGTGAAGCACGCCGGGGCTAAGTGACTCAGGCAGCCCTCCTCCCAGGCCCCACACCCACGCAAGGCAACAGGAAGCTCCCCACATCTGCCCCATGACGCAACGATGACCGCTTGCATAAGTATGTCACTGGAGGGGGAAGAACAGTGGATGGAATGCTCCGAGTTGGGAATGGGAACACCAACTGCTGAAAAACCTTGTAAGGGCAGTATAGCCCTCAGCAAGAAATAAAGTCCGACCCTGAGGAATTTCAGGAACCAAGCCTCCTTCTCCCAGTCCCAGAAGGAGACGGAAAGGCTACGTCCCCGTTGGTTAAGAGCACCTGTGGGCGCGGCAGGTCTCGGAGGAAGGCGCCCGTGCCCTCAGCTCAGGCTCCTTGGCGCCGCACCTGCACGTGGGTGGCGACGGCTCCCCGGGGGCATAGTCCCTTCTCCGGGCATCTCAGCAGACCCGGCTGCGGCTTCTCTCCACGGTTTCCGCGGGCGCTCCCGCTGGCCTGGCCTGGCCTCGAGTCTGTGCACTCGGGCCAACGGTGTGGCCCGTGCTCTGGGCTCCCGCAACGCCGCTCGGGGTCCCTCAGAAAGCCACCACGGCCCGTACGAGCACATTCAGCATGCTGTCCGCCCGGCGGCACACCGGCTTTGCCTCACAAGCGGGCGGGGGTGGCACCGTCGCGGGGACGGCGGGGCTGCAGTTCAGGAGGCCGGAAAAGCGCCTCTGTAGGACGCGCGCTAGGTTGGGGAAGGCGCCCTCCGCTTGTGCGGGAGGAAGCTGCAGACGATTGGGGACCTCCGAAGACTCCCTTTCCTCCGCACCCTCTTCTTCTAGTCGGGCTTTCTTGCTCGGTACCAGTCCGGCGTCCCCGCTGTTGGCCAGGCTGCTGCTTCGGCGCTTGCGGCTGATTTTGGCGGGGCGCGGGGCACAGCGGGCAGGGGACTCCTCGGCTCTCGGCGCCTCCTGCGTGTCCATGGGCTCCGGGCAGAGCTGCTCACCGTCGGAGAACGCTGCCTCCACTCTGGTTTGAGCTTCCCGCGGTGTGTGTAGGCGAGGGTCAAGGGAGCACGCGGGCTGCGAGGGCACCCCAGTTTCCTCGTGGGCTTCCACCTTGGCGGAGAGGTAGACTTCCCGGGCGCTACGCATGATCAGCGACAACTGCAGACTCCGATGTAGCCGTAGCCCTCCGCGCTGCATGCGTGAATGATACATCTTCCACACCGACAGAGTCATGATGCGTTGCGCTTCCTTCTGCACCTCCATAGCGTCTCGACGGCGGGGGTGAGGGCGGCGGAGACTGCTCTGCTTAGCAGGTGCACTCTGGGGAACTCACTCGCTCACGCTTCTCCCCACAACCCCCAAAACGCCGTAACGCACCTAGTACGCTCTGCCCCAGCGCCCGCCACCGGGGCCCATTTGTACCCGAAGTAACGTCACGAACACGCCCCGCCCAATCAGAGCACTGCTTCGGGCTTTCCAGCGGGTCCGGGCCAGACACGCCTTAAAGCGACAGGGAGGAATTTTCCGAACGGACAAAAGGGCCGCGAGCCCGGACGAGGAGGAGCGATCCCCAGTCTACTCTGAGTTCTTGAGGTGGTCTCTTTCTCAGGTCCTCCTCACTCCCGCACTGCAATATGCCGGCGCATAGGCCCAGGGGAGCGGGGCCAAGGGTGAAGCTCAGGGCCCACCCACATGCTAGAGTTTGCAGGCCCCAGCAGGTCGTAGACGGCTAGTTTCCCTTTGCTCCAATAACGATGCTAACACTTACTAAGCGGTTACTACGTGCCAAACGATGTTAAAGGCTTTCCTTTTATAAATATCTCATTGATCCTTCACATCCACTCCGCGGAGGATACTGTTGTTATAACAGAGTCCTTTACGTCTGGACACCGAGACAAAGTGACTAGTCCAATATTTGCTGGACGAATAAATGGGCCGACTGAGGTAGAAAGAAGGCCACTGGAGACTCCAGCTCTACAGTATCTAGCGTACGCCAGCCATCCTCACTCCCCTTGTCTGTAGGCGGTAAGGAAGCGGGCAAGCTGTCTGGTTCCAACGCAAAGCTGCCCGCTTTACGGGCGGCGGAAGTTTGCAGACACGAGCGCACCCCGGGCTGCCATATCTGCGCACCACACTACGCATCCTCTCAATTTTCTTCGGCACAAGTTCCACCGATGCGCTTGGTGTTCTCAAGGTGGAGGACCTAGCCGCACGACATCCGGGTGACCTTGTGGCTTCCGCCCCCTAAATGAAGCAGTCGTGCTCAGGCCCTGCACCCCGGGAGGCGCAGTTGGGATAGGAGTTGAAAACTGAGCAACACAGAGATAGAGCAGATAGAAAACATCGACCCCATCTTCCGCTACGCGCTATCTCTCCAAAAAAACCTATTTCCAGTTCCTCCCCGCAAAAAGCTGCAAAATTGCTTGAATGGCTTCATCCATTTGTGGCGCGGGCCCTTTAAGGGAAGGCCCCACCCACTAAACTGGTGAGCAGAGCCTTCCCGCCGCTGGGTCGGCGCTACAGGCAGAACTAATTTTGGAAGTACTGACGTAGGGAAGGCGCCGGAGCCGCTTCCGGATGCCCATGTAAGGACAGAGGCCGGGCTCTCCATACAGGGCAATAACCGGCTTCTTCCGGGCGTGCGTACGTGGGTAAGGTCTTGGCCTCCAGACACTCCCCCTTCCTTTCCCTTTTCCGGGCAACCACCGCTAGCAGGAGCCCCCGGCTTCCGGACCCGCATTTTGCGGGCGGGCGAGGAAGGTTTCGCTTCCCTCCCGGGAAGCTAGGAAGGCGTGATGCCCCTCAGGGAATGCCCCCCGTGGGCGGGTAGGAGCGACCTCACGGCTCCCACTGACACCATATCCCAGGAACCCTACACAATGACCTTGGCAGCACTAGAGGCGACTCTGTGATGACCCCTTCATCCCTGTCTCCACAGTTATTTCTCTCTGCAGGACCCTCTCTCGGTATTACTGTTCCTTCTCCTAGAATTCTCTCAGTCACCCCTGGAGGATGCTCAGGTCTCGTCTCCTGAACATGGGGACTCAACAATTATTCCCCCTAAAAGACCTAGAAGCATCTCCGCGGCGCCCACTAATGGCCATCCCGCCCCAGGGTGACCTCGATGTGCCCCTTCTCCGTAGGAAAAGGGGAGTTCAGCAAAACTACACACAGAATGCCCGCGCCTCACCCCACCCGCGGGGAGGTGGGACGACCAACTCTTCTTCCTCCAACCTTTCCCAAACCTGCCATTCCCGAACCTGAGCTAGTACGATCTCCCAAAACAGGATCCGGGTGCAAGCCCAGGGAGTTCGTTAAGAGGATCTACGAATCGAACGAAACCCTTCCCCAGACTCAACCTCGTCTGATTTTCACGGAAGTTATTATTTATAATGCCCAGAAAGGAACCGAGGTTGCTCCCCAACAATTCGAGGGGCTGGGTCTCGAACCCAGAGATTCCTAATTGCAACTCGAACTGGGGCAGACAGAAATAGGGTAAGCCTGTGGGCGGCGGGATACGCGGTCGCGAAGGAATGGGGCATGCTCGCAGAAAGCAGTCTCTGCCCACAACCAAGATGGCCGAGGAGGGGGCGGGAGTCCCTCACTTCCGGCCTCCGAGGTCTCTCTTTCTCTCCGGGCGATCCTGCTCTCGATGGTGATACGGGTCACGTGGCGGGGGCGAGGGTGGTGGCCTGTTCGCCACAGCTGGGAGGAAACCTGCTGGCAAGGCGGAGAGGGGAGGGGGCTTAGTCTCCGACGGGGGGGCGGTGACATGTCTCTCGAAGACCCATTTTTTGTAGTCCGAGGGTGAGTGACAGTGATGGGGGAGGGCAGAGGGTTCTCGGGCCCCTGCCAGCCCGTGCCCGGATGCGGGCCGCAGCGTGCCAAGCGGTGCAGGGGTGCGCGGGCGGGATCGCCCGGTGGCCGAGTGAGAGAGGTACGCAGGGGGATGTGGAGGTCCTCTGAACCGCACCCTCCCTTCATTTGGGGGCGCAGCAAAGGGCGGGAGGCCCGCCTGCTCCCAGCCGCGCCCGCTGTGCTCCTGCCTGCAGCGAGGTGCAAAAGGCGGTGAACTCAGCCCGAGGGCTGTACCAGCGCTGGTGCGAGCTCCTGCAAGAGGGCGCCGCAGTCGGACACGAGGAGCTGGACTGGACAACCAATGAGCTTCGGAACGGCCTGCGCAGCATCGAGTGGGACCTCGAGGACCTGGAGGAGACCATAGATATCCTGGGCGGTGGGGGTGTTGGAGGGCTCCTTTGGGAGAGTCCATTTGCCGTGGCCGGGGAAGCTGGGAGGCTGGATACCAGGGAGGCGGTGAGGCCTTTGAGGAAGAGGAGGGGGTTGTATCTGGCTCTGTCCTTGACTCTTGACTCGCGGCCTACGCATAGTGGAAGCCAACCCGGGCAAGTTCAAGCTCCCAGCTGGGGACCTGCAGGAGAGAAAGGTGTTCGTGGAGCGGATGCGGGAGGCAGTCCAGGTGAGACGAGGTCCCAGTGGGGTGAGGGTAGGGTCGTGGGGGTGTCTTTACTCTCTGATGCTGTCCTCACTTCCAGGAAATGAAGGACCATATGGTCAGCCCAGCGGCGGTAGCCTTCATGGAGAGACATAAGAGAGAGGTAAGGCATCCTGACCCAGCATCCTCATGGGATCTTTTGGGGTGGCCCTCTCCTACGTGTGTGCCTGTTTCCCAGGGAAGTGTATGTCTGCCCCTTATGTGCAATGCCCATCTTTTCTGTGTGCAGTTCTCTTGGCCCTCTACCTGCCTGCTTTCTGTGTGTTTATACCTGAGCCCTCACTGATCGTATACTCTCTTCTGCCTTCTCCTGGAAGTCTATACGGGTTTCTCAGGGTGGGTGGGTAGTGTCTGTATATCTATCCTATTTCTTTGTTTTGTGTGTTACTGTGTCCAGCATATATGCCTATGTTTTTTTGTTCTGTGTATGCACTTGATCCATCTGAGTATGTGAACTTGGCTTCTAAGTGTATCCTGTCTGCCTTGGGCATACGCACCCTTTTCTTCTGTGGGTGTGCCTGCCTTGTGTGTGCCTTTTCATGCCTTTTGTTTGCATGCTTCCTACTGTCTGTATATGCACCTTTCCCCTTTGTGTTATGTGCCCATTTTTGTATGTTGTGAAACCACCAGCCTCTTCCCATCCCATCATAAGCCTACATGGGTTCTGAGATAATAGGGGAACTGAGGCCCACACCAGCTTGGAGTCCTGTAGCAGTGCCCACAAGTGTTCCTGGTGTGCTATCTTTGGGGTTAAAGTACAAATTCTTACAGACATCTGTTTATGTGGTCATAAGTGTTCTCTATGGGTTAATTCATTTCCTTACTCCAACATAAGAAAGCAGGGGTTATAGTTCTCCCCATTTTACAGGTAGGAAACTGATGCACAGGGAGGTCAAGTGTTAGGGCCTTGGGGTCAGTCACCTTGCTAATAAGTGGGCCTTGGGAACCCAGGACATCCCACTTCAGAGACTGCCTTACTAACTACTGTCTAAATTTGCCTGCATCTGGCTCTATGGTGAGTGGGCATCAGTGCCTGAACCTGTGATCTGTGCTCCTCCAGATGCTGACAGGCAAACTAGCCACCCAGAAGTCATCCAGTGACCTGCTAGATGCCAGCATGGTCTCAGCCTCCTCTCGCTACATTGAGGAGCAGCAGGCCACGCAGCAGGTTTGTGTGGGTAATTGGGCTGTGGGCTGGAAGGACCTGTGGACAGACAACTCAGGGCTTCTTGATGACAGCAGTTCCAATCTGCAGCTGATCATGGACCAACAGGACCAACAGCTGGAAATGGTGTCTGGGAGCATCCAGGTTCTGAAACACATGTCCAGTCGCGTTGGAGAGGAGCTGGATGAGCAGGGCATGTGAGGCCAGGACCCCCAGGGTGGGTGGGGAGCCTGAGGCTGGCTGCACTGAGGGACCCTTCAAGGCCTAAAACTATCTTGGTCTTGGCAGCATGCTGGACACCTTTGCTCATGAAATGGACCACACCCAGTCACGAATGGATGGAGTCCTCAGGAAGATGGCCAAAGTATCCCACATGACAAGTGGTGAGTTCCCTGGGGAAGGCAGTTAGGGGAGTGTGGGGCATGGGGTGCTGCTGCCACCCCTGTGACTTCTGACCCTTTCACCCCCAGACCGCCGACAGTGGTGTGCAATTTTGGTGCTGTTGGGAGTGCTTCTCCTGGTTCTCATCCTGCTCTTCTCTCTCTGACCCTGGGCCTCTCTGGGGGGTGCTGATCCCTCAAGCTGCAGGAGCTGGTAGGGCCCTGCCCCCTGGAAGAAGGGGGTTGTACCTGGGGAGCTGTCCCAAGGCTCTCACCCAGAGCCAGTGGGACCCTTGGGGACCTGGGTTTGAGCCTCTGCCACTGGTCCTCTTCCAAGTGCGCTTAAGGGTTGGTGGAGGTAGGAGGACCTCAGAACACCTTGCCCCATTTCTATTTTCAGTGCCCCAAAGCCATTTATTTACTCATGTGCCTTCAATGTGTGCCAACTTGGAAATAAAATCCTAGCCTTTTTTACACATATTTATGTTATACGGCATGTTGACTCAGAACTTGCGGCTGCCTCCTGAAGGGCACCTTGTAATTCTAAGCCTGTTTGCATGCACTGTGGCCCAGGTGTGTGTGTGTGTGCACTTGTGTGCATGTTAGGGATTTCAGTGGTCAGTATTGGGTGCAGAAGAGACTATTCTGGTTTATTTCTTGGTTTTCATGACGGATGATTTGATTACCGCTGGAAATTTCAAACCATGAATCTTTTTGAGCTTTTTGAGTTCAACCTGAACATCTTTTGCCTGCTTTGTGTCCAAAGTAGGCAAATACCTTAGCCATGGAGCTGAGTGGTCACTTCTGAGTGCTCACATAGAGGTAATGGTGGGCTCCAAAGCACACCTGGTTTCTTGTTCTCTGTGTGATGGATGTATCACTTTTAACAAGGCAGCCTTTGTATATTTAAGGGCTTTGCCATAGAACCTTCCTGAGTATGAAATGGTTCCTGTAAGCCAGGTAAACTTGTAAGTACTGTGACCCTTAGATTGTCATTAGTTTGCACCCCCCACCTTCAGTGATCAGGCCAGGGAACCATGCATCTCACTCACTTATATAAGTGTTATAAAGTGCTGTATTACAAGGCTGTTATTCCATCATGCCAATTTATCAAAACCTTAAAAAAAAAAGAACCAAAAATGTACAGAATCCTCTTTTTTAGTGCTATGTGGGTTCTCTTGAAACATTCTATACTTATTTCTAAGTCTTTCTGGGGCTAAAAGTTGTGCTCTGAGAGTCAGATGGGACAGAGCCACCTATGGATTTTTGTTGGTATTGCTCTCAAAACCCCTTTCTGGCAGCTGAAGCTAGACTTCAGGACTCCAAAGAGGCTAGTCTTACTGAATGAAACATTCAAGTCACCCTGTGAGGTGGAATAGTTGACTTTTGAATAACACAGGTCAGAACTGTGCAGGGCCATTTATACACCAATTTTTAAAAAAATAAATACTGTAACTGTATACTGATTTTCTTAATAATCTTTTATGCAGCCTACTGTAAGGATATAGTATATGATACACATACAAAATATGTGTTCCTTCACTATGGAATCAGTAAGGCTCCTGGCCAACCGTAGACTGTTTTGGGGGAGTCAAGTTCTAGTTTTTGACTGCACAGGTAACTCAGGTTGTTCAAGGGTCAACCTCAACCCTATTACTGAGTCATTTTCATGGACACCTGGAGCTCCCTTGTTATCACAGGGCCAAAGGACTTGGCCTGGGCAGAGATGTAGCTTCCCTGTCCACCTCCCAGCACAGATCTTTTGTTGACTCAATGGGATCCCTCAGAAAGGTAAATGCCCTTCCCAGCTGCTTGAAACAGCCGAGTTGATGGGACTGTAAAGCATCTCCATGTCTTTATCTTGCCCCGTCAAACCTTTTGTCCTTTCATATTCTCAGGACCCTGCAGCCAGATTTGCCATCTCAACTTTTGTCTGTTTAAAAGCTGTGTTGGCTTGGGATGGTGTGAGGGGCATGTTCAGGATGCGTCAGACCACAGGGTAGCCAGTCAGTGGGTCTTGTGGTCTCTTCAGTGGAGCTTCCAGGGGATGCCCTCATGGATTTTGGGGTCAGGTGTGCAGAAGTGGCATGGGCAGCCTGAATCTGTGTACATTCCCACCTAGAGTGTGCCATCCTTACACTCATGTTAATGCTCTGACATGACATTTGGCATGGGAATTTCCCCGTGCACCCTGAGCTATGATCTTGCTTTGTCAATATGAAACCCCGGACAGTGGGGGCATCACTCTGCAGAATGGGAGACCCATGTGTGGTGAGCATCCCCTCCCAGTGAGCAGCGTGCAGCAAGGCTGTTACAAAGGCTTTTAGTTTATTCTCCTCATCAGTGTCACTGATATTCTCATGTTCACATTTCCCAGTGCACTCCTCTCCTTACAGTAGTTAATGTGCAATCTCACTTACAGGCCAGGGAGTGGGAGGGGGAGGGGGACTTGGCCCAGAGCAGGGCGGGTATTGGCACTCCACGTGGACACAGCAGGTGGCCTGTCCCACGGGACAAGGGGCAGCCAGGAGAGGCCTCATCTTTTGTGTGTTGGGTCTGTGATTCTCCATCCCTGCTCCTTCCTGGCTGCCTGGGTGGGGCAGGGGTGGGGACATGCAGCTCAGAGCAGGGCAGGGGGAAAAAGGAACAGCAGCAGGCTGCCCTGGGGGGGAGAGGCAGGGGGGATGGGCACAGGGGTGGCTCCTGGGGTAAGGCACGACCCTGTCTTTGGCTCTCCTGGTGAGGAAGTTCCTCCCCTGCACCCCTGCCCAGCCTCTCTCCCCACACCCGCAGCAGACCAACACACAGTCCCTGGAGCCAGGGGAACCTCCTGGGGGTCCCTGAAACAAGGGGGCCCTGCCACCCAACTCAGTGATGCAGGGGTGCGGAGGAAGGATGGGGCAAGCCCTGCTTAAGGACAAGGCAGGGAGTGGCTGGGCAGGGGCCTGCCCAGAAAAAAGGGTGGGGAGAGAACCAGTCCCAGGAGCTGGCCCCCAGCTAAGGCCTGGAAGGGGGAGAAACCGGGGACTCCTGCTTCCTTTTGGGGGCTGGCTGGAGCCCCAGCCCACCCTTCTGTGGCCCCAAGGGCCCACCAAGTGACCAGGATATTGTGCTTTGGGATGATGCTGGGGTAGGGTGTCAAGGCCAGGATGAAGGGCAGGGGAGGTGTGACTAAGGTGCTTGTGCTTTAGCTTGGGGTGTCGACTCCCTCCCAGATGTCCCCCCTGCCCATACTCGGACCAGAAAGAAGGGTGCCAGAATCCCAGCCAGACTGGACACTCTTCCACCAGAACAAGCAGATGCTTGAGGGACCCCTTCTCCACAGGCTGGTGGGGACTACTGGGTGGGGGGAGGCCTCCAAGTCAGATCCCAAGGGTCCACTAGGGAGGCCCCCACTCACCTCTGGCAACCCCCCCGCCTCTGGAAGCAATGGGCTGTCAGACTTGGGGAAGGGACGAGAGGTGAGGCGGTGAGGAAAAGGACTGGAGACAAAAACTGTCAAATGACACCCAGCACGGGTGGATGGGGAGTAGAAATAAACAAGAACCCTCTGGTTCACACATAAAACTCAAAAAAATCAAACACTCGCACTGGGTGAGGCTAGAAACAGGAATGGTTAGAAAGAAAATTCAGCAAACAACTGCTAACAACGGAGTGGGTCCTGCCCTGTCCCCAGCCCTGGGCTCTGCCAACAGGACGAGACCAGGGAGAACCTTCACACGTAGTCCTGTGGGGGGGCTGGCCGGCCTGGGTTCCACCTCAGAAACGTGCACCCACACTCCACATGCACGCAACACAGTCAGCCTGCCCCCACCCCCCACCCCATCCTGCCTTCCACAGCCCCCTGGGACCGAAGGGGACATCAGACACAGTCCCACTGGTTTGAAAAATAAAAGGAATCTTATACTTCAGTATTTCATTAGCTAAAAAAATGTTTTAAAAAGTATGTACAGGGGATGGGGGCTGGGAGCCCTGCCATGGGACGGGGTGGGGGAGGGAGGGAAGGGCAGCAGCCCACCAGCCTACCCCCCTGGTTCCAACCCTGGTCCCACTGCCTCTCATACCTTCATTCGTTTCAAAGCAAAACTTCTACACACGCACACGCACACACACCTATGAGCCCCGGAAACCTCTCGTCCTATCATCAAAGACTCTCCGTCTGCACCCCTCACTCATGACTTGCCCCTCTCGGGCCCCAGGGGACTGAACAGGGGCAAGAAAGGCTGAGCACAGCGTCAGGGAGAAGGGCACTGAGCCCGCCACCACCTGTCACCTTAGGTCAGTCCTGGGATTTCTCTGAGCCTCAGTTTTCCTTAGCTGTCACAAGGGCAGTCCCCATTGCCTCGCCTAACCCAGCCCCAGGTGCAGGGACAGACGAGGGAGATAGGAAGGCGCTTTCGGAAACGTGGAAGCACTGGGAGGTGGTGGCAGAAGGGGTCCTGAGCACCCCGGGCCCCTCTGCAAGTCCCAAGGAGCTGCAGTGATGGGTGGAGCAGAGGACTGCACCCAGACCAGCCCCTCCCCTGCCTGGCCTGGTTGAGTGGAATGGGGAAACAATTGCTAGGGGTTAGGAGAGGGAAGCAAGTGCTCCCCAACTGTGCACGAGTGTGTGTGTGTGTGTGTGTGTGTGTGTGAGAGAGAGAGAGAGAGAGAGAGAGAGAGAGAGAGAGAGGGAGAAGGCCACACAGAGCTCGCACCACTGCCATCCTCTCCCAGCCCACTCGGACTGGGGTCGGGGGTGGGACGGGAGGCCAAGGGGCCGAGAGCATGCAGCACACCCCGCGGGTCCTGGGGAGGGACAAACAGTAGCTCGTGACCAAGATGGCAGGTGGGGGGTGACAGGAGGGGGAGTGTGGTGGCCTTGTGGAGGGCCTGGTGGGGGGTTACTGGAGGGCCTCGGCTGAGGGGCCTGCGTCGCCATCGTGGCTGGCTGTTTCAAAGCTGTGCTCCACGCCCATCATGTCCGGCTCCAGCTTGCCCGTGTCACCGATGAAGGTGGTGTAGGTGTCACCCTCCGGTGGCTTCCCCTTGGGAATCCAGCTCTTCCGCACAACTCGGCGGGCATTGGTGCACATGTCAGCCGCGATGGCGTTCATCTCACTCTCCTTGAAGTTTGGGGCAAAGTTCTGGCAGTAGTCTGTGCGGGGAGAGGGGACAGCTCAGGCCTAGTGTGGACTTGCTTCCCATCCCATCAGCAGCCACTTGGCCATGCCTTTCCTGACTCCCTCAACCCCCACCGGCAGGACACCCAGGAGCCCCTCTCGGAGGTAGAGAACACAGGCCTCACAGACAGCAGGCTACACCCCACTGGCGGGCCCCATGCCTGACTGAGCTCTGCCATGTGTCCTGGGTACGTGGGCCTCACGGGGTGGCCCAATGCTCTTGGAAAATGTGGATCATTTCCCAGAATTTAGGAATTAGAGGATTCCACATGCAAACTTAAAAAGAGTTCCCTCCTGACCACTGGCTGGGGACCTGGT